GCTACAGGTGCAAACACTTCAGAGTAATCCAGCCCAGGTTTTTGTAGAAATCCTCTGGCTACCAACTTTGCTTTATGTTTGCCAATTGAGCCATCTGGCTTTAACTTCTGCTTGAAAACCCATCTGACGCTGATGGCTTTCTTGTCTTTTGGAAGTTTTGTCAGCTTCCAAGTCTTGTTTCTCTCTATAGCATCAAGTTCTTCTTTCATGGCCTTCAACCAGAGCTTCTGCTTAAGAGCATCTTTTGTACTTATGGGTTCAGAGTCTACTAACATGGCACACTGAATAACTTCTCCTTCAGAGTCTACTTCAGTGTCTTGCAGCATGTCAAATTCTGCAAATCTTCTGGAAACGCTTCTGATTCTTTGTGGTCTCTGAACTTGTTCAGAGTCTTGAGCTTCAGATGATTGACTTTTTCCAGAGCTTTGACCAACTTCAGGATCTGGCATATTTCCAGAGTCTTGAACTTCAGAATTTCTAGCTTCAAAGGCTTGACTTCCTCCAGAGCCTTGGCCATCTTCAGAGTCTGGATCATCAGAGTCTGGATCATCAGAGTCACCTTCATCTTCTGAGTCTTCTCCAGAGTCAGAATCACTATCAGAGTCAGAATCAACGTCAGAATTTACTTCAACTTCAGAAATTCTTAACTCTGACCTTTCTTCAGAAGTTCTAACATCAGAATCAGATTGAGACTTATCTCAATTCCAAACTTCTGATTCCTTCACAATCACATCTCTGCTGAATTCAATTTTATTGGTTTCTGGACAATAGAGCTTGTATGCACTTGTACTGTGGTACCCTATCAGAATAATCACTTTGCTTCTATCATCCAGCTTCTGTCTTCTGGCTTCTGGAACATGTTTATAGCAAACAGAACCAAACACCTTCAGATGACTAACACTTTGCTTGTCTCCAGTCCACTTCTGCATAGGAACTATTTCCTTCAACTTCTTCGTAGGACATCTGTTGAGTACATACGTTGCAGTGGCAACAGCTTTTCCCCAGAGCTTCTGAGGAAGCTTCTTCTCCTTTAGCATGCTTCTCACCATATCAAGCAAAGTACGGTTTCTTCTTTCAGCAAGACCATTGTGTTGAGGGGTATAAGGAGCAGTAACCTCATGCTCAATTCCATTCTCCTCACAGAACTTCTGGAACTCTTTGGAGTTATACTCACCTCCACCATCAGTTCTAAGAATCTTCAACTTCTGACCACTCTGATTCTCAGCCTTCATTCTGAACTTCTTGAATTCATCAAACACCTTGTGTTTGAACTTAATAATGGATACCCATGTCATTCTTGTGAATTCATCAACAAATAACACAAAGTATTTATTCCCTCCAATTGATGCTACTGGAAATGGACCATACACATCAGAATGTACAACTCCCAAGGCATGTTTTGCTCTTGGAGCAACTTCTGACGCAAATGGCAAACGTGGTTGTTTTCCTTCCATGCAAACTTTGCATGACTTCTCAGGCTTCTTAATTGCAGGAATTCCATGTACCAGCTTCTTTGAATTCAGATGTTTTAGGCTTCTGAAATTCAAATGACCAAATCTTCTGTGCCACAGCTCACTCTCCTTCTCAGCACATGTTGCACTAAGAGATTCTGAGTCTGCAGTTCTGAAATTCACTTTGAATGTTCTATTCCTTCCCTGTTCTGACTCCATAATCAACTTCTGATTGTAGTCATACAGCTTCAGAAGATTGTCCTTCATGGTAACTGAAAAACCTTTCTCAATTAATTGTCCCACACTCATCAGATTGCTTCTGATGCTAGGTACATACCACACGTTCTGAATCAATGCTGTTTTCCCATTGTTCAGAGTCACTCTGACATTTCCCATACCTTCTGCATTAAGATATTTGTCATAAGCACATCTGATCTTTGTCCTCTTTTCAGAGTCAAAGTCAACCAGCCATTTCTTGTTTCCAGTAAGATGATTTGAACAGCCAGTATCCATATACCACCAGTCTGTCAGATCATCAGATTCAGAGGCCATCAATAGCACAGATTTGTCATCAAAACTTCTGGCTATATTTGCTTCTTCTGATTTCTTCTCCTTGTTTGACCAACAATCTCTAGCAAAGTGACCAAACTTCTTACAACAGTAACATTGGATCTTCTTCTTGTCATACTTCTCTTTTCCCTTCTGAGCATTCTTTTGTCTATCAGAGGTTGAGCTTTCTGACTTCTGACCACCATCAGATCTTCTCTTGGCTTCTGACTGCTTCTGATACCTCCTATCAGAAGTTGCTTTCAGAGCCTGCTGCTCTACTTCCCTTTCAGAAGTTCTCTCAGTCAAACGCAACTCTTACGCTTCTAAACTGCTCTGCAGCTCTTCAATTCTCATGGTACTCAGATCTTTGGAATGTTCTATTGCTACCACAATGTAATCAAATTGAGAGGTAAGGGATCTCAATACCTTCTCAATGATTGTTTCTTCAAAAAGAGTTTCTCCACACGCCTTCATCTCATTAGTGATCAGAATCACTCTGGAGATGTATTCAGAAACTTTCTCATTATTCTTCATGTTGAGATTCTCATATTGCTTTCTCAAGGACTGAAGCTTCACCTTCTTCACTGATGCGTCACCACCATAACATCTAACCATGTGTCCCACGCAGCATTTGATGTCGTTGAATCTGCAATCTTCTCAAACACATTTACATCAACACATTGATGAATAAAGAATAATGCTTTCTGATCCTTCTTCCTTACTTCCTTCTGCGCGTTTTTCTGTTCATCCGTTGCATCTGCTGCTACCGGAACATAACCATCAGTGACAAGATCTAAAACATCTTGAGCACCAAACAGTACACGCATTTGGATCATCCAACGATTCTAGTTTTTACCGTCAAATACTGGAAGCTTGGTGTTCATGTTGCCGTTTCCGTTCATCTTCACCTTGCACAATACACTCAGATTTCTCACACAGTGTTTCCCAACCCACAAAATAAAATTCTGATCAGATTTTGTTCAAGATTCAACACGAATCTAAGAATCAAAATCAAACACACAAGACCTCACGTTCACTCGTGTTTCCCGTGTTTCCCAATGAATCTGAACCGGAGCTCTAGATACCAATTGTTGGTGCAAAGGTGAATAAATGATGAATAGAGGAAATATTCTATTAAGAATGACAGCTACAAAACATGATAAAAGTTACAATGATTGTCACCCTATTTATAAGCTAAAACTAGGGTTACTAGAATAAGATAAAATACTAAAATACCCTCTAACAAACTTAGGGGCTAAGAAAATAGTACAACTAAATAAATATGAATTACTATTAATATTCTAATATATTCATGCAAAAGTGATTTAAACAATTAATTTTTAAAAAAAAATGTTTTACACTTAAAAATTATTAATCGTAATTTTGTGTAAAATCAATTATAGAGACCGGCTCAATTCTATTTTAAGAAAACATACATGTCAAAATTAATTTTATATCTCTAAAATCTCTTTATTTCTCTTAAAAATTAAAGCAATGAAACGAGTTTACGAAATTGATAACACGAAAATATATAATATATTTCGACTCAATTAACATACGTTTTAGTGTTATTTTTATATGTTTTTATTGTACTATGCTGGTATTTTGTGTTAGTTTCAAGGACTTAACAGGTAGGAGTCTGTACATGAGAAAACGAAACGAAAACAGTAAAAAATTGAGTTTTTATGAATTAATTGCACTCACGGCGTTCACCATGAAGCCATGGCGATCGCCAGGAACCTTGATGGTCACGTTCAGCATGTTTGTGCTCAAGCTGTTCAAAACACTCAGGTACTGGTCAATAACGCGACAATGTGAGATACACAGTCATAAAAATTGGTTTTAGCTTCTAAAAACAGCGACAACGCTTTAGAGATTAATTAGGATTTATTGATTTTCAAAGAGTGTTTCGATATTGTAAATGAGACAGCGACAACCAAGCATTTACGATTTTGAAACATAACACGAGTTGCGCAAAAGTGAGCAGTGTTTTTAAATTGATACTTTGTTTCGAAAAATATTTTAAATACCAAAACAAACGCCAAAATTTTATTGAGTTCTGGATGTGCGATTGAAAATTACATTATTGTTTCGCTTTTATTAATTTTCTTCAAACAAAACTTTATTTCCTATTTTATTTTATTTTCTAAAAAAATCCAAAATTATGCCTATTAGCCTTAAATTTACACATAGGGATAATATAATATGATAGATTAACACTGGTAAATCCATTGATTAGACGCTTTTATATTATAACTGACATTTTCATGCACTTGCGGATACGCATCAAACATCAATATAAAATTTAAATTTTACATAATAAAAGAAGGAGTCTCTCTATATTAATAATTATCAATTATTTTAATTTTCCTAAAAGAAAGTATTGTCACCTTATATTAATATTACTAGTGGTCTAAAATATATGAACTAATAATACTACTATCTAATTGGTTTATAGTTGGAATAGAAATGGAAGATGAATAAGAGACAGTGACACTTGTGCAACCGTTGCCAAATACCAGAATATTGTACTATTAATTGTTATTTAATATTGCTCACCAACTTCAAACTTCACCCATTTATTTCCATTTTCATTTCCATTCTTGTTATTCTCTTTCTACTCCTACTATCTAAGGTGAGAAATTCCTTTATTTTTCTCTCATTTTTGCAATGCTAATTCAATGGTAGAATCTCCAATATGGAATACTTTGTTTGAGAAAGTATTCGACTTTTATTTTTGAATTTTTCTTGTAAGCAGTCAACATGAGTTTCTGCAGGAAATTCAATTTTCATGTCTAGCTATGGATTATGCAAGACAATACTTTCTCAGTTGTTGACATGAATTAATTAATGATATTGATTGAAATCATCAAAACCATTTGCTTTTTGTTTTTCTTTTCGATTGAATATACTATTCGCCGACACCTGATCGATTTTAATGGTTTCCATGACAGTATGTGAAGACATTAAGAAGAACGGTTGAAGATAGGTGGAGAAGTAATGGCCTCTGAGATGGACTATTTTCACCTCTCTGGACCCTTACATCTTACTTATGTCAATTGGTAAAAATCTATCTAACAAATTTTTCACTTTAACTATTCCTTTTATAGTATATCATCACAAAATTGTTCACATCATGAAACTTACACTCTCTTTCTTTCATTTGTATTTACTTGAGAGATAACTTAAGAAAGAAGATACATGTTTAGAGACGAAATTGTCGATTTACTTAGAAACTAGTTATTTTCATTGAAATTTTTGAAGCTTATTCTATTTGAGGATTTCTGTTAAGAAAAATAAGATTTAATCTTATGCAGGGATTATGCGTATCATCGAAAGTCGGTAGCTGCTAGTTTGGTCCAAGGTGTTTATGTTCTAGAGAAAGATCGACAAGGACGACGGAAAGGTCCTGATTCTCTTGCATTTCCTTGGTGGACATTCTTCCATTTTCAACTGATTCATACATTAGTTGATGATGTTGATAACTCCATATTTGGTGCAATTTATGAGTTCAAACTTCCACCAGCAATGTGCCATGACGCTTTACATAGAAGTCCGCGATATGTGATTGCGTTTCGCGGGACTATAACCAATGCAGACACAGTTTCGCGCGATGTTGAGTTGGATGTGAAGTTTCTCAAAAATGGACTTCATCGATGTTCACGCTCAGAGATAGCTGTCGAAGCTGTCAGAAACATGGTGGCTAGTATTGGTGGAAACGGTTCAAATATATGGTTGGCCGGTCATTCTCTCGGATCAGGCATGGCTTTGCTTGCCGGGAAAGCAATGGCTAAAAATGGTATACTCATTGAGTCTTTTCTTTTCAATCCTCCATTTGCATCGGCTCCAATTGAGAGAATTAGGAGTAAGAAAACAAAACATAGGCTTCGAATTGCGAGCAGCGTGATAACAGCCGGATTAGCCATTGCTATGAATTCGGATAAGAAAAGTTCATCCTGTGATTCATTTGCTGCTTTGTCTGCTTGGATTCCATGCTTGTTTGTGAATCCATCTGATTATATATGTTCCGAGTATGTCGGATACTTCGAGCATAGAAGAAAAATGGAGGAGATTGGTGCTGGAAGCATTGAGAAGTTAGCAACACAAAATTCACTTGGTTCTCTAATGATGAGTGCTTTTGGGAAGGAATCTGAACCTCTGCATCTCATTCCTTCTGCTATTTTGACAGTAAATTATACTCCTACACAAAGTTTCAAAGAAGCTCATGGGATTCACCAATGGTGGAAACCAGATTTACATTTGGAATCCAAGCTCCACAAATACTAGTAATTCTTCTGGTTATTGTATTGTGTATATTTCAATTGGTGCATGAATATTCAGGTATGTTGTGTGTGGTTTTCTATTTGAAGTTAATGTATGGACAAAATAACTTTTAAGAATGATGAAAGCGAATGATAGTTATGAATGTTGGATTGAATATAAGATTGTGTTGGTTGAAAATATATATATTGAGGAAATTTTACATCGCTTTCTTTTATTTTATAAAAGAAGAGTGTACTTGCTAAAAATATAAATACGTAACAAACTCTGGTGATTAACGGTTATCAGTGGTTTTAAGATGTGTTTTGAGATCAGGTGCTAACTCATGCATGGAAGAGAAGCTCTCTAAGTGTGTATTTTTGTCTTAGAGTCAGGTTATCCTTCTCGATCATGGTGCTGCGTATTTATAGCTATATTGGACCTAGATCTAAAGTTCCTTTGGAAATAGAAATCATTTAGGAAGTGACAGTTTATTTCCTAATATACAGAAGAGCATGGTCTACCTCTTTCATGACTTCTTTTATGTCGTTATAGAATAAGGACATGTCACTCACCAATTCCAACGTCAAGCGACTTATCCAAGTGGAAAGTGAGATATACAAATAAAGGGTGATACATCTCATAAATAGACAATTGACTTGACAAAAAGGCGACTGAGAACTCCCATGTCGCCTCTGCATACTTTTCACAAATATACTGATACACAGCCGCTAAAGCACTAGGGTTTGCCAAAGGGCGAAGTGATTTACTTTCCTCTTCCATATTTGGACATTCTTGGGGATTGTAAGTGGAGCATTTTAAAGTCGAATTCTTCATGCAAAACGTCAGTAGAGTCCCTCAAGAGAGACTTCAATTGACTCCCTTATGCATGAGGCAGGCTTCATGTGCGTGGGTGACCCTGATACGTATTTCCACGTGTCATCAATGTGTGTCATACATCACCTGGAAAAACCCCTAAACATATGTTGGAGGGAGAAACATGTAAGACATATAATGCTACAAATGATGATTAACATTGGGACGCCTAATTGGCCTCATTTCTTGGCATGTGTCGGAATGCGTAGAGCCTTTTATATATAATGGGAAACATATGAGACTTTGATTACCTCTAGCTTTCTACTCCAATTTAAAGGGAACAACCCCCGCCTTTTTTATCTTTCCACACACTGTCTCCCTAAAGCTTTTTAGCATTTCTTTTGTCTTCCCAACAATCTCCACATCTTCACGAGCTTAATATTCTACTCTACGCAGGTTCAATGATCTCTTTTCTCCTTTTCTTTATGGCGATTTTTAGGGATTTAAATAAGGATGAAAATCTGATAGAACCCTTAACTCGTGACTAGCGTATAACCCTGTGAAACTTTAGTTATAGGAATGTTAAGCATCCTTACGAGACTAATAAGTGTAGATTAGTGGAATTAGACATGTTTGGTAGCTGTGAGAGTTCTCTTAATTTTGATAGTGATAGCAGTGAGAGTAGTGATAGTGATTCCTCTTTCCTTTCTATTTAATCAGAAAATAGGGAGGTCATGGCCACCTCTAACACTGAGCTTAAGGATGTCATGGAAGTTGGATCTCTCTATACCATTGAGAACCACACAACCTCCCTTAAGAAGCAACTTATTATTTCTTCTTCTGGTGAAGAATAAGATGTTATTCTGGAGGTGTGCTCTCTGGAAGAGAGGGACAATATAGTTGCATCTGAAGCCTTTTATACTCCTTCATTCTATTTCTACCTACCCACCATCCACGAGATTGAGGTTTGCCTCCCCGTCTCTTCTTTCAAGATGGAGGTTCTGACGGTGCTTAACGTGGCCCCTCCTAAACCATACCTAATGGATGGAGCTTGATTATGGCATTTGAGATCCTATGTGGGCGGTTAGGGACTTACCCAACCATCGGGATGTGTTTCCTTTTTATGGCACCAAAGTGTCTGTTTGCTAAGGTTGGGTAACCCTAGCAACTTTTCGAGGGAAAGAATTATTCAAACCCCATTCCAAACACTTCAAAGGTTGGAAGGAAAATTTTGTGAGGATGAGGGGATGATATAGTTCCTCTTTGGTTACCACTGGGGCGAATGGCACCCCTAGATTTCCCCTCGCCTCAAAAAATAGTCTTGTGGTGATCACCGGGTACAACTATACTTACCTCACTATTGATGAGGATGAGGTGGTCCAAACCTTGGACAATTTTAACACTATGCCAAAAATGGCCTTTAGCAGCGCTTTTTTTGACCTTTAGCAGCGCTTTAAAGCACTGCCTAAAGTGGCGCTGCTAAAGATAAAGGCAGCGCTTTTTTTTATAGAAAAAGCGCTGCTAAAGGTATCACTTTTAGCAGCGCTTTTTTACCCCTTTAGCAGCGCTTTCAAAGCGCTGCCTATTCTTCCTCCCCCTCCCCCCCCCCCCCCCCCCGTAGCAGCGCTTTATGAAAGCGCTTTTGTAGACCACCCTTTAGCAGCGCTTTTTTAAAGCGCTTTCTTAGACCCCTCCTTTCCTAACCTATAGCAGCGCTTTTTTATGCCTATTTTTCTCCCTTTAGCAGCGCTTTTTTATACAATAACACTTTGCAATTTACACATAATTAACTCAAGTATAATTTACACATAATTTAAACATTGTACATTATACAATATACAATATACAATATACAATTTACACATAATTACAAATCCAATATACATTATAGAATTCTTAACTCAATCATAAATTGACACCATTCTTCCTTAATTTCTTCCAATTTTACTTTCGAGTACGTAGCGAATTTGAATTCATCAAAATACTACATAATATAACAGAACAAGCACGATTTAATACTAATTACTCAGATGAAATATTAGTTAATTATCAAAATGAATCATATAACTCATGAATTGATCCATACCATGGTTGGAATCTCTAATTGACCAGAAAGAATGATTTCCTTCATAAAGCGCAGTACAAAATATCCGCAGTCAATCCCACCATGCTGACGAGGACACTGTATTAGGAAAAAAGCGAACGAACATTTATCAGGATATATAGTTTAAATAGTTTTATAAGTAGAACCACTATACCAGTCAAACATGGGAAAATATACCTCCACTCTGATCCAGTTGATGTTGCTAGCCCTGCTTTTTGGCACTGTTGCATCTCTCTGTGCTCTGTATATTTGTATAACTCTAACATAATATAAACACATATTTAGAACAATGTCACATAATAAATAAACATATATAATTATTCAGAACACTATACATCATCACTTACGTATCAACCATGTTCTTCAGATTTTCATATTTGTTTGTATCGCCATCCAATGAATCTATATAATACACTATTTCTTTAATCGGATTAATTGCGACCAACAACCAGTGACCACTATAAAATAAGACAACAGTTTAGACGGAAATGTTATATAATATGGCAAAAATAGAACAATTATAATAAATGAATTTAGAATAAAAACTAACCCATGGCCAGTATTATATGGCAACATAAACAACTTCTCCGTATTCGCACCCATAAATCTCTGGACTGTGTACTCTTTGACTGCTTCTGGTGTCTGGTCTATTGTCCGTGAGTTGACACTGCTAGCAGATAAGAATGCGAATACTGAAGTCAAATCAGCGGGGACCAACAACTTGTCATACAAGCGCCTAAAAAAAATATAATCAACATTAGATTATTCAGTTAAACGAGCGAATTTTAAAATGTTCAATTATCTAATTAAAATGGATCGAAGTACCTGATGTAGGAATGCATAACCCCGACGCCCAATTCTAAATGTTTGAAAACCTGGTCGAAATCCTCCTTAGCAAGTGTTTCGGAATATTCAAAACCGAAAATACCTTGATCCATATGTATTAGACGGATGCCGCCCTCAGGCACGTCTGTTGTCCCTACATATGTTTGAAGGCACGACCTAAATTGAGTAACAAATGCTCTTTTTGTCTCGACCTTTTTTTTGGGCACCTTGGAAGTTTCAGGCATGTTTCCCTTGCTGACTTGTTGCGACTGCTGATCAAGAACCTAAAAGTCATATATAAGTTCAGTAAATAATTTATAATAAAATAATCACTTAAACTGTAGTACTAGTACCTGTAACTTTGATGCAGCTGAATCGGTATCCCGCACAATAATTTTATCATCTTTTGTTTTGGATTTTGTGGGAGTCTAAGATCATCATGTCAATAAGAAAGTGTAAATGTCAGAATAACTTTCATGTATGGGTAATAAAACATTGGAATATTACAAGGTTCAACCTACCTCATCATCCATGAAAATGAGATTCGCCGGCCATGCTACATAAGCTCCTATCGCGTCTCCCACCACTGTTGCGTTTGATACATCGTCTGGCATAGGCAACAACGCCCCCCCCCCTCTAATGCAATATCAACAGATACTTTCAAAAATCCATCAGGGAGGGGTTTATGGTGAAGTAAGTCTCCCAGGGTGTTATGCACCTTTCCCTTGCCAACCATGCGATAAGTCGGCGACGATAAATATAGTCGACAAGGTGAAATGCCCTAAACAAATAATGATCAGTTAATGTGTCAATTAAGAAAAATGTGCTAAATTAATTTCAATGTAATATATACAATTACCTCTGGAAGCTTCTGCGGACAACCGATACTATCTTTGTCACTAGTAGCTTTACCGGCCTCTGGAGCGCGCCTTTCGGACATGTATCTCTCCTTATCCTTCTGTAATTCACGAATTTGAGCTTTCATTTCCTCCAAAGTAGCCATCACTTCTTTATTGGTTGGATTTTTTTTTTCCTTGGCTGCTTATACAGTTTGGATGGAGTGACACCAAATCCCTTGCCCCTCACACGCCCAGAGTACTCAGGAATATTCAACACCCGACTCAATAAACTCCTGCAATCATCGTCTTCAGCAGGAGTTATAGTCTGGGATAGGGACTCCTGAAATATAGATAAAAGCATATTTAAATATTTTATACACTTTGTTCAAACACTTTGTTCAAAAACTAATGTTGTACTTACACATTGTTCAAACACTTGTTGA